AGATCGTCCTCTAATGCCACGCCATCTTGTCTCTGCCGCGGCCTGCCGGATGTGAGAGCTTGGCTGTCGAAGGATCAGTCTGGCGGTCAAGGCAACGATACCGAGTCGGCGGAATGCTGCGTTCGTGCGGGGTGGTAGGCAAGCCGTGATGCTCGCCCGTGTCTCAGACATGTACGTACCCGCAGATCGTACCAGCGAGATGCCGAGCCTCTCAAGTGCCGTGTGGCTCGGAGAGTAGTTTCACACCGATCAAGATATTCCATGCTTCCGGTGCGCTTCAATCTGTTCGTTAGTAGATTTGTAGCTATCAAGTCTGGTGCAGGATCGCATCCTTGCTCAGGTGGCTGTTTGTGGGCGCATGAACTCTCAATAGAACGCACTTGCGTGACTACTTGCTCGGGCCGGAGACTTTGTCATGCTCCTCAAAACGCAGGAGAGATGGTTCAAGCCGACATATCCGGTCCGAGACTGATATGGAGGATCTTCATGATAGAAGTGTATGAGCGAGGGCGTGTCTGCGTCCGGTGAGCGAATATCAGGAAGTGTAACGATGTTGTATATCTATCGCGGCTACTCGTAAGAGTTGCAGTCGCTCTCGCCTATTAGAGACGATTCTGGAACACGGTTGTGGTGTTGCAACCCAGACGTGCATAAGGCTGCGTGTCAAAGATGTCATCCAGCCGCGGATATGCATGTCATGCGCGGTGGATCCGGTGTGTTCGATAGGCCTCCAAATGCGATCAAGTCCGCGGGCTTCCGGCAAGAAGGACATTGGTTGGATAGAGAGCTGAAGATTGGAGGGCGGCACGAGCTGCATGGAAGGGCGTCGAACTGCAGTAAACAGGTCGACAGCAACGCGATGTGCAGTAGTAGATCGACGCTGCGCGAACGCGCGCTGAGCCGCACCGCAGAACGGTCTGAAGTCCATGTTGGAGTGTAGGCGGATTAACATCGGCTGGAAAGATCGAATCGCACTGCGATACACCAAAGGGCGATGCACCAGAATGTTTGGCATACGACACGCCCAGCAGTGATGCAAGCGGGGCTGAGTGGTATAAGTGCAAACACAGATAAGGGGTATACATGCGCACCACCAGGTACAACTACCAGTGACTGAAAGACTTCGGTGTAACCAGCGGGTTCTTACCTCGACTTGTGGGTGGTGATTGGAGGCGTTGGCCGAGCGGAACGAAGGGCAAGCAGACGGGTTGGACGTCAGCAGGACGCTGTCTCAGCCATCGATACTCGTTACTCAGAAAAAAGGTCCTCATCTTTCCCGTGAACCTTGCGATGGTGGCTTGTAGTGGTCAGTTGCCTTCTTTTGGCTGGCTCTAGGGCTCGCGGCGAAAGGGGGTGTTGAGCCATGCACGGACCAAAAGCGGGGTCATGACGCCCCGTTAGCGTGGTCAATCAATGATCGCTTCTTCTGCACTGGCACCGCGAACGTTTCTCACACTTCGACGACTTCATGTATCCAGCTCCACGGAGGGCAGGCTAAAAAAGCAACAATTACATCGATGATTCGCGGCGAACCCCAACGATTACATCTGTAATGCATATGCGACCTTATCCAAACACCACCACCATCAGGCTGCATGCAACAACAGGCAGCCGCTATGAGTCCTCAAATATGCATGCGCATGGCTGATGCAGATTGCATATCATCTTTCACTGGTCCGGTCAAAGTTGAGCCTCAAGACGTGTAGCAACGAAGCTATGCTGCGCGTTCACGCAAGAGGGCGGGGTTATTTGCCTGTTTGTCCCCCTCAGCCTGGTGGCTTAGACCGGTGAGAGCCTCGATATCACCCTCAAGTGGGGCTTGCGAGTGCCCTTCGAGACGACCAATCAACGCTTGTTTCATGTATACCCCCCGGAGAAACGACTGCATGTGGGTGTTGTACTCCTAGAGGGACCACAACCTCGCTTGCATCAACAAAGTGTTACTACTGCTCCGGACAAAGATCGAGAGCTACAATCTTGCAGTATGACAAGAAATTTCCCAATCTATATCTTCGGTCAACGTCCTCCTGTTTCTGCCTTAGACTTTCTAGTTCGCCCTGTCATTCACTTCCCGTGTCTTCATCACATTGCTCTGCCTGTTTCGATCATCGGCATCAAGTCTTCAGTCACTTGAGCATCTAGCCATCGGCTATACTTCCTTCGTTCAAGATATCCCTCCCATAACCTCTACGAATCATTCAATGGCGACTCCACAGCAGGGACAGTACCAGGGTCATGTACCCCATCAACATCAGAATGTCAGCCAACAACGACAAGTCCCGAATGGGCAGCAGCAGAGCTCTGGACAACAGCAGAACTTTGGACAGGCCCAGCAGAGGCCAACTCAGCCCCAACAGCAACCTCTAAACCCATACGCCAACTACGATCCCCAACTGGCTTCCTTCATCTTGGAGAAGCCAAGGAACGCCACTTCCTGGGAGGATGCCACACCTGAGCAACAACATGTCGCACTCCAGGAACTCCACAGCGAACTGCACAAGTTTCGTCGAAACCATAATAACGTCAAGAAGGCGATGACCGAGATCCCTTCCCCAAACTGTCGCCGAATCATCAACGAGCTCGTTGAGGACCAGAACGTTGAGCTTGCGAAGTACAATAGAACCATCCAATACAGAATTGCAAGCGTTGTAAACAAATGGCGCTCGGTCAACCGTCGAGAAAGGCAGCTGGTGCGTGTAGACATCATTCTGGAGACCGAACCTTCTGGGTTTCAGGAGCCTATGCAAGCGAGACCTGTCGTCGGAGGTGCGGGCAATGGGCCCCAAGATGCAAACAAGAACAAGCCACCAGGAAACTCGCAAGGTCAACCGTTCCCGAACCCGTCCAACAACCCCGGCCAAAACATGCCACAGCAACAAAGACCTCCCCAACAGCAACCACAACATCCTGGCGCGCAAAGCTTCGGCCAGCATCCTCCAAACCCGGGCCACATGAACCCAATGGCAGGTCCTCCTGGAGGTCCCCCTCCTCCACCCCCACCTCCGGGGATGCCTGCATCACACGACATGGGTCGTCCACCACCCCCACCGCATGGTGGAGCGGGCCAACCCATGCCGGGCGCGCCCATGCAGCATCCTCCGCCTCCTCATGGCCAACCCCATGGCGCGCCCTTTGGTCAAATGCCAATGCCTGGTGCGTTTCCGGACCAGATGCATATGCCGCCAATTGGCATGAGGCACGTCCAAGGCCTGAATTCTGATCACCTCAGACATCAGAAGAAACACCACAGGGTTCGTCGGGATGTTTCCGACTCATCGTCCGACAGTGACTCCTGGGAGTCTGAGTCTGAAGATTCCAGTTTTGTCAACATTGAACATGATCATATAGATGTTGATCGACGTGGACGAGGACGTCAGCGGTCCGGCAAGAGATCGAAGAAGACTCAGAGACATCGATCACTCAGCAAAGCTAGAGCCCTCAGTCGTAGTCGTAGCCGAAGTCGGGCACGCAAGAACAACGTCGATCCATATATTGCAAAGACTACCCGTCGACACCGCACTTCAGACATAGTCGATGATCAACGCAATGGTAGGCATAGCCCAGAGTCCTTCACCACCGACTCTTCTCGGTCATCTCACAACAAAGTGCCGCCTGTTCACATCCACTTGAGCACCAACAACATTGTGGAAGAACGAACACGTTCCGGTAATGCCTCACCAGTTGGCCTCTCTAACGAGAAGAAGAAGAGATCTGGAAAGTACTACTCCTCGCACGGCATGGCTAGGGAGACTTCCAACTCATCATCAGATCGTGGAAGCGGCACCGAGTCTATGAACACTACATCTGCCCACACAGCAGATGATGGTATCTTTGACACTCCTATACGCCGCCGCCCTTCTTTCACGCACGTTCATCGTCGCCAGAAGGTCTCTTACGGAAGAAGGTCACCCAACCCATTCGGCCAGCCGCACCCCAGCCACATCTACGACGAAGATGTTGACCACCGTCGTGTACAGAAGGTCAGATACCACAAGGAGACAGTGGACGACTACCCACAACCCCGCAGCCCACGCACGCACATGCACGAGCCCGAGTCGTACTTCGATGACTACCCAGTTCACACTACTCGGCCAAGCCTACCAAATCGCCGCGCGACCATGGCCAATCCACCCAATATCCACAATCCTTTCGCGCAATCACACTTCCCACCCAAACCAGTGCGCGCCTCATCATACCTCGCGGACAGGCATGAGCAAGGCTACAGCTACCCCCAGCCACGCGCGATTGGAGACCAAGACGAATTGGATGCGCGATACGCACTCAATGACATTCATGCGGCTCTTGAGCACATCCAGGACAAGAAAGAGCGATCTGCCAGACGCGCGAACATGATGGGTAGGAGGGACTCGGCCTTCCAGTATGAAGATGATGAGTGGCATGCTAGGGTGCCGCTGAGTGGGCGACGTGGAGGTTATGGTGGGTACTAGGTGATACGCATGTTCTCTCGTTTCTAACTTCTCTTCTCGATACTTTTGTCTTTCTTATGAGTGTGTCAGTCTTTCGGCGATACGTTATGGCAGGTGTGCTGCTTCTACTCAACTCTTCGCGTGGGACTTGCTTGGTCTAGGGTACAAAATCACAGCGTCATTAGTCTATCGGTTTTTGGTAGGCATCTTGGATATACTATCTCAATCTATACTGTATACCCGCATTGGCTACATTCTCTTCAGCATGACAATTTGATACCGAGTGAACCAAGTCCACTAGCCCTGATCCAGCTAGGAAGGTGTGAGCACCTTTCTTAGCTCTCTTCAATCTCAGCATGGATGCTGCTATCCTTCATAATACACTCACCATACACGGCGAGTAATGACTCAAGATTAGTCTTTGCATAAAAGTGATTTTCAACGAGAAGACCACTTCGAGCATAATACGCTGCTTCTTTGTACTTTCGTTGCATGAAGTGGTTGTCCGCGAGCATATTGTATCTGGGTGGGACAAATTAGCATGACATCAAGAGCATGATCGAGCCCGAATACTTACGCAGATGATAGCAACTGGTCGCGTACGCCCAGTTCGTGCAGTAGATCGACGTAAATGCGAAGCTTTGCGCAGGAGATTTGACCTTCCTTATTACTATAGGTGTAGCACAAAGTTCGCTCTGACGCGTCCGGCTCGAGCGCAGGCGCACATGCTTTGCAACTGCAGTCGAAGCCCCATCCTAGCATCAGTGCTGCTTGGCGAGCATCCCTGCTCTTTTCCCAATCGTCCGCGATGTAGTTGATCAGGATCTCTTCACCAGCGTCTATCTGTCGTGTAGCAACCAGTCGGGCATAACCTTTAAGATCTGCGCCATTCTCGTCGATGTAAAGTACTGCATTGGGGATGCACGAATGGTTGGCGAAGGATATCGTGCGATAGACAACTAGGCGGGTGTGCTGGATACCTACACCGGTATAATCACGGAAGTTGAAAGCGTTGTACCGACAACGATCTACAAGGTGCTCGACGTCTGTAGCCCTGGTCTTCGAAGTGTAGAGCTTGTGGAAGGCTTCTCGATCTTGCCAGCTTAGCTGTGTGTATGCGGTCGTCAAACGCGCAGTAGTTTTGTTGACCTCTTCGTCATAGAAAGCGATGACTTCCCTATTCTGCTCCTCGGGCTGCTTGCGTGTGTCGCATTGGAAAAATGCGTTTTCGTCGAGAATGAGAGCGCCTTTCTTGAAGTTTTGCTGTGCGACAAGGCCATTACCCGCAACAACGTTAGCATTAGTGACCCGTACCTGAGGATGATTTGTTGCCATGTTTATCGTGTAGTTGACGACTTTTGTCCGTATGGGTGATGTGGGAAGTCTACCAAGGGACGTCAGATCGACCCTTATATCCCGTCAGCTGCGGCAGTTTGCTGATCTGGAAGCATAAACAGGAGTCTGGTTTGAGAGAGAATCATCGACACGCTCATTGTTCAGGACGAAATACAACGAATGATCATATGCAAACACTACATAGGCTTGATTGAAAAAGGACCCATGGCTGCCTTGTTGTACTCCTCAAGCAGCCTTTCGTCCTCCTGGTGACACTGTCCTAGTATGTCGTTCAGCTGCTGATTCCAAGTAGCGATGAAGAAGTTCTTCTCGACGATTAGCCCTGCGTGGGCAGTTTGCTTTGCCTGCGCGTAGTCTTCCTTTCCGAAGTAAAGCCTTGCGAGTTCTAGGGATCTGTTCAAAAGTCATCAGTGGTGTAGTCATGAGGATTAAGTGATTTGACCTACGCTTTGGATAGCTCTGCATCCCACCTACCCAAAGAAGTAAGAATTTTGATGTAGCCCTCCAGGTTCATGATGCTGTGATTCTTCTGCTCCTCGGTTATTACCGCTGCCATTGCAGTGATGTTGGTCTTGTATGCGCTCGCCAGGTTGCGTGAGATAGTATCCATAGCGGTAAACGGGTGTGTACACCCGTTGCATGAACACGTAAATCCCCAGTGGTGATTAAGTACAGCATTTCGAGCTACATGATCGCCAAGCCAGTCGCGTTCTATGTAATTTACAAAGACCTCGGCTCCGTCTGGGATTGCTTGAGTTGCTACGAGCCTTGCTTGGCCTTCCGGAAACAAAGTGCGGCGGGGCCAGATTTCGATGGTAGCGTTTGGAACACAAGAGTGGTTGATGGAGCGCATGTCTTCATACACTACCAGGTGTGTTTTGTTATTGCTGGCATTCACGAAGGTGAATGCGTTGCGTTCGAAACGATCGACGTATCGATCGAGTGTAGAACCATGGGCTGGCCGGGGCCAGAGCGTACGTAGTGTTTTTCGCTGCTCTAATGTAAGATCGTTCACAGCTGCATAGATGACAGAAGTTGCATGTACTCGTTGAGCATCATAGAAAGTGTCGACGGTATCCTGGTCGGACCACTGGTTTTCAGTACTACCGGTGTTGCAGAAGACAATGGGGTCTTCCGTGAGTATGCGGTCGCCCCGTCCGAGTGATCGATTCGCAAATAAACCGCGCCCTCCGAGTGGGCTGTTCTGGGTTTGATAGTTCATTTGGAGCTGCTGATGAGGTAGCGTCCGTTTCTGGCTGTGAGGCTCTACCTTCTGCTTGTGAATGCTGTATTATATGTGCTGAGCACCGAGACAATTCCATTGTTAGCAAGCAACTTTGTGTTAGACTCCATGCAAGACATGAAAGTGAGATCAAGACACATGTTCGAGAGCAGATGAAGTGACGATACCTAGGCAGCTCATCTGGTTTGCGCGACACCGCAGCGGCAGTGGCCATGCAAAGGCTGGTGTATTTTGTGAACAAAGTCCAGATCTAACGATCCGCGGCGTCATTTCGTATATCAGAGTCAGTCGTGTGATAGCGGTCTCAGGCTCCGCGGTGGTGCTGCAGGCTCAGCAAAACAAGCACGTCATGCACGCGTCCTCACATCGCTTGCCCGCCCGCTTGTACCTGCCAAGCCATCAGGGGCGCCATGTGGGGTATCTCCACTCACGCGCGCCTCCAACGCTCACTAGCATCCATTCACAAAGCCATCCATCGACATCACCCAAAAAAGCAAGCCCCCATCGCGCGCATCAGCTGCTCACTTTCTACCCTCTAGCCTGCCCCAAGTCCAATCCATAGATTCACCGCGCCAGTCTCGCGGCAATAGGACTAGGCGCCACTAACTTTCGGGCTCGCAGCCGTGTAGACACGAGAACACGAGCCCCCATCCGAAACACGTCTAGCCCCACGGAGATGACCAGACCTCTGGGCACGCTGACTGGGCGGCCATCATTGGGCGGGTTGCGGGAGAGTATTGATATGCTTGTTCTTTACGAGATCCTTCTCTTTAGGGGCGGAGGGCCAGAACAGGCTGACGGGGCAGGGTAGAATGAATGGGGATTAAAAGTCCCTGGAGAACCAGTTTTCTGGTCCTACGTGATGCGCGCGCGTGCTGGGCTTCACTTTCCATCGCGGTCGTAGTCGTTGGTCGATCCTTACTTTTGACTCTTTCGCTCTTTCCTAATACATTTTATTATCTTCGTCACTACACGTTCGAGGTTCCGCCAGCATCACTATTGAGTTTCACGACTGCCGACTGCCGTTACTAGTGCATCACAACGCGACAAGTTGGGTAGCAAGAAAGAAAGTATGAAGGTACTCGTTGCCTTGTTTGGCCTGGTGGTCGCCGCGCTTGCGCAAGATGCCTCAACCTCAAGCTGTAAGTTTGGTCGACGGCAATAGTTTTGCATGTAGTATGCCTGGAATCTCAACTCTAATCAAGCATCCGATGTAGATACCGGCCCAATGTTCGACCCGGACACGGCGCCTTTCTTTGGCCCTAGCACCATCGTCTATCCCTCCGTCACCGAGTCCGCTCCGGTACTTTCAAACTTACCGACTCTCACACCTTCCGGCAGCACAGTCATGATCTCCATGTCTAGCAGCGCTATGGCCAACTCGACGCTCTCGACTTCAACGCTGTCGCGCAACTCTACAACCTCGCATACCTCGACACATTCTTCCACACACTCATCCACATCGGTCAGGACTTCGCGCACGGCGACTCCTACAGCGGATGAGACTTCGGCAAGTGCGTCGGTCCCGGCCGAGACGGGTGCAGGTGTTGCGAACTACCCTGAGACATTTGGAGCTATTTTGGGAGGTCTTTTAGCTGGATTAGCGATGCTGTAGCAGGTTTTAATATCTTTTAGTAGAGAACAGGCGACTGAAAAATATATGCAGTATGCCATGAAAGCCAGTCGCGCAGAGGTCTAGCCAAGTTTAAGACCAACATAATAGGGTATATTGTGATGTGCTCGTGGGTTGACTCGAGCTTTCCGTCAAAGTCATCTAGCATACTTTTCCCTGGTCAAACCGTACGCCTAAGAAACGCCGTCATAATGCAACTGAACTAAGCTGATCTCGCTTGTTCTTACTCCTCCATAGCTCCGACCTCTGTCACCTGCTCAGTCGCCTTGGTGTAGTAGGCCTTGAGATCGATCTTGAAGTCTGCCATGGCCACACCGAACATCTTCAGCAGCGCGGTTTGATGACTGTTCATGACCTTGCCCTCCTCCGCGATAGTGTACGGTACATCCAAGATAATCTTGCCCTTGTCGAGCCTCGTTGGCATGCCCCATTTCCTGATGGTAGTCTCCATGCTGTGCGGCAGCGGCACGTCCTCCTCTTCGGGAATCTCTCCGCCTCTTGAGTGGACTACACCAGCGGGTACTGTGAAGGTCTGCGTCGCGACGACGCCGGCGCGCGCAAAGTCGGTTTGCGAGTAGTTGGCAAAGTACTCGATGACCTCGCTGGGCTCGCGGTTGGTGAAAAAGAGTCCGACATTGCCGTTGAGGTGCTTGGTGAGCTCGGAGAGGTTCGAGAGGTGCTCTTCTGCCGGGCTTAGGCCAAGCGCTTTCGCCATGACTTTGGTCTTTCCGAAGAAGAATCTGCGCATTCGTTAGCCTTGCGCGCATTGGATAAAAGCGCTCACGCAGACATACCGGCTGTCAGCGAACTCCTGACGGACTTCCTTCAGGTACGAGTTGCGCATGTTCTCTACGGCAAAGACGAAGATGTGCTCAAAGTTATCCGCCGCTTCCTGGACATTGGCAAAGAGCTTCAAAGACAGCTCCTTGCCCTTCTTGTCCGTCTTGGTAAGATGCACGACCTTCTGGCGCTTGGATTTGGGCATGGTGGCGGTATTTCGGGGGTGTTGTGGTTGGTGGTTGCGCTCAGGAAAAAGTTCGAAGTTGCGGTCGCGACTTCCAAAAAATTGAGCGGGGATTTTGGCGAACCCCCGATTGGTGCAACCGCGGCTGCTCCGCTGTGGATCCAGATGTCGCTCTCGCGCTCTCCAAAGTCTACGCACTCAACCTCACCCCAGTCTGCTCGAGATGATCAATCGATAACAGAGCGATGTTGGATTTCATGGATAGCGTGCAGCATGCATTCTACGAGGCATCGGGCTGGAACGTCGACAATTCCTATGGCGCACTGAACGCGTCGGCACGAGGTACGTCACACTGGATGTCGCGTTCTAGATTGGATACTGACTTATGATGACAGCATTGCTCGACTTTGACATACCCCGTGGGCTGCGCATGCAAATCTCCTCTCTCGCCGCCCCCAATTTCGCAACCTCGTACACCCTAGGCAGTGTGGGGGTAGTCGACGGCTCAGTATCCTACCTGTACTCGTCGCTGCCACTACGGAAGGACTTTAGGACGTCCCACATCGACCTCCACAACGTGATACGAGGCTACAAGCATGCGCAAGAGTTGCGGACACCGGACGAGAAGTGGTCGTGGGAGGTTTGGCATGCTGGCCGCCGGATAGACCGCAAGAGTGAGCTGGATGACACTGCCTTCCCGTACCCCCGCTGAGTCGAGACAGACACCCTGTTGTATGGGCGCATATTCCTACCACAGCAGAGGCTCGAAGCCCTGTACCTCCGCCGCCTCACTCCCACACGCCAGCTGAGGATCGCCGCCGTGAGCGACTCCAATCTCAACAACGGCGGGACGATCCTGACGCTACTGCAAAATGACTTCGGCAAATACAGCACGGAATACATGTACAGCACAGACTCGGCGTTGATGGGCGTCCGGGGTCTCTACAACTTTGGTCCAGGCCCCAGAGTTGCGCCCGCAGAACCCGTTGCTGCAGAGCAGGTGGATCCTGTGCATGGTCGCTTCAGCGCAGGCGCTGAGCTGTACTATGGCATACTCAACAAGAGCGGGGGAATCAGCACAGGGGTGAGGTTCGCCACCCTACCCAACCATACGGGCTTCCCGTATACCATGACGCTCA